TCTATTACCCAGGGTGTAATACAGAGAGAATGTCAGTCTATCACTCAGGGTGTAATACAGAGAGAATGTCAGTCTATCACCCAGGGTGTAATACAGAGAGAATGTCAGTCTATTACCCAGGGTGTAATACAGAGAGAATGTCAGCCTACCACCCAGGGTGTAATACAGAGAGAATGTCAGTATGTCACCCAGAGTGTAATACAGAGAGAATGTCAGCCTACCACCCAGAGTGTAATACAGAGAGAATGTCAGTCTACCACCCAGGGTGTAATACAGAGAGAATGTCAGTCTACCACCCAGGGTGTAATACAGAGAGAATGTCAGTCTACCACCCAGGGTGTAATACAGAGAGAATGTCAGTCTATCACCCAGGGTGTAATACAGAGAGAATATCAGCCTACCACCCAGGGTGTAATACAGAGAGAATGTCAGTCTACCACCCAGGGTGTAATACAGAGATAATGTCAGCCTACCACCCAGGGTGTAATACAGAGAGAATGTCAGTCTATCACCCAGGGTGTAATACAGAGAGAATGTCAGTCTATCACTCAGGGTGTAATACAGAGAGAATGTCAGTCTATCACTCAGGGTGTAATACAGAGAGAATGTCAGTCTATCACTCAGGGTGTAATACAGAGAGAATGTCAGTCTATCACTCAGGGTGTAATACAGAGAGAATGTCAGTCTACCACCCAGGGTGTAATACAGAGAGAATGTCAGTCTACCACCCAGGGTGTAATACAGAGAGAATGTCAGTCTATCACCCAGGGTGTAATACAGAGAGAATGTCAGTCTATCACTCAGGGTGTAATACAGAGAGAATATCAGTCTATCACTCAGGGTGTAATACAGAGAGAATATCAGCCTATCACCCAGGGTGTAATACAGAGAGAATGTCAGCCTATCACCCAGGGTGTAATACAGAGAGAATGTCAGTCTACCACCCAGGGTGTAATACAGAGAGAATGTCAGTCTACCACCCAGGGTGTAATACAGAGAGAATGTCAGTCTATCACCCAGGGTGTAATACAGAGAGAATATCAGTCTATCACCCAGGGTGTAATACAGAGAGAATGTCAGTCTATCACTCAGGGTGTAATACAGAGAGAATATCAGCCTACCACCCAGGGTGTAATACAGAGAGAATGTCAGCCTACCACCCAGCGTGTAATACAGAGAGAATGTCAGCCTACCACCCAGAGTGTAATACAGAGAGAATGTCAGTCTATCACCCAGGGTGTAATACAGAGAGAATGTCAGTCTATCACCCAGGGTGTAATACAGAGAGAATGTCAGTCTACCACCCAGGGTGTAATACAGAGAGAATGTCAGTCTACCACCCAGGGTGTAATACAGAGAGAATGTCAGCCTACCACCCAGGGTGTAATACAGAGAGAATGTCAGTCTACCACCCAGGGTGTAATACAGAGAGAATGTCAGTCTACCACCCAGGGTGTAATACAGAGAGAATGTCAGTCTATCACCCAGGGTGTAATACAGAGAGAATGTCAGTCTATCACCCAGGGTGTAATACAGAGAGAATGTCAGTCTATCACTCAGGGTGTAATACAGAGAGAATGTCAGCCTACCACCCAGGGTGTAATACAGAGAGAATGTCAGTCTACCACCCAGGGTGTAATACAGAGAGAATGTCAGTCTACCACCCAGGGTGTAATACAGAGAGAATGTCAGTCTACCACCCAGGGTGTAATACAGAGAGAATGTCAGTCTATCACCCAGGGTGTAATACAGAGAGAATGTCAGTCTATCACCCAGGGTGTAATACAGAGAGAATGTCAGTCTATCACCCAGGGTGTAATACAGAGAGAATGTCAGTCTATCACCCAGGGTGTAATACAGAGAGAATATCAGCCTATCACCCAGGGTGTAATACAGAGAGAATGTCAGTCTACCACCCAGGGTGTAATACAGAGAGAATGGCAGTCTATCACCCAGGGTGTAATACAGAGAGAATTTCAGTATGTCACCCAGGGTGTAATACAGAGAGAATGTCAGTCTACCACCCAGGGTGTAATACAGAGAGAATGTCAGTCTATAACCCAGGGTGTAATACAGAGAGAATGTCAGTCTATCACTCAGGGTGTAATACAGAGAGAATGTCAGTCTACCACACAGGGTGTAATACAGAGAGAATGTCAGTCTATCACTCAGGGTGTAATACAGAGAGAATATCAGTCTATCACTCAGGGTGTAATACAGAGAGAATGTCAGTCTATCACCCAGCGTGTAATACAGAGAGAATGTCAGTCTATCACTCAGGGTGTAATACAGAGAGAATGTCAGCCTACCACCCAGGGTGTAATACAGAGAGAATGTCAGCCTACCACCCAGGGTGTAATACAGAGAGAATGTCAGCCTACCACCCAGGGTGTAATACAGAGAGAATGTCAGCCTACCACCCAGGGTGTAATACAGAGAGAATGTCAGTCTACCACCCAGGGTGTAATTCAGAGAGAATGTCAGTCTACCACCCAGGGTGTAATACAGAGAGAATGTCAGTCTATCACCCAGGGTGTAATACAGAGAGAATGTCAGTCTATTACCCAGGGTGTAATACAGAGAGAATGTCAGTCTATCACTCAGGGTGTAATACAGAGAGAATGTCAGTCTACCACCCAGGGTGTAATACAGAGAGAATGTCAGTCTACCACCCAGCGTGTAATACAGAGAGAATGTCAGCCTACCACCCAGAGTGTAATACAGAGAGAATGTCAGTCTATCACTCAGGGTGTAATACAGAGAGAATGTCAGTCTATCACCCAGGGTGCAATACAGAGAGAATGTCAGTCTACCACCCAGGGTGTAATACAGAGAGAATGTCAGTCTACCACCCAGCGTGTAATACAGAGAGAATGTCAGCCTACCACCCAGAGTGTAATACAGAGAGAATGTCAGTCTATCACTCAGGGTGTAATATAGAGAGAATGTCAGCCTACCACCCAGAGTGTAATACAGAGAGAATGTCAGCCTACCACCCAGGGTGTAATACAGAGAGAATGTCAGCCTACCACCCAGGGTGTAATACATATAGAATTTCAGTATGTCACCCAGCGTGTAATACAGAGAGAATGTCAGCCTATCACCCAGGGTGTAATACAGAGAGAATGTCAGTCTATCACCCAGGGTGTAATACAGAGAGAATGTCAGTCTATCACTCAGGGTGTAATACAGAGAGAATGTCAGCCTACCACCCAGGGTGTAATACAGAGAGAATGTCAGTCTACCACCCAGGGTGTAATACAGAGAGAATGTCAGTCTATCACCCAGGGTGTAATACAGAGAGAATGTCAGCCTATAACCCAGCGTGTAATACAGAGAGAATGTCAGCCTACCACCCAGGGTGTAATACAGAGAGAATGTCAGTCTATCACCCAGCGTGTAATACAGAGAGAATGTCAGCCTACCACCCAGGGTGTAATACAGAGAGAATGTCAGCCTACCACCCAGGGTGTAATACAGAGAGAACGTCAGCCTATAACCCAGCGTGTAATACAGAGAGAATGTCAGCCTACCACCCAGGGTGTAATACAGAGAGAATGTCAGTCTATCACCCAGGGTGTAATACAGAGAGAATGTCAGTCTACCACCCAGCGTGTAATACAGAGAGAATGTCAGTCTACCACCCAGGGTGTAATACAGAGAGAATATCAGCCTATCACCCAGCGTGTAATACAGAGAGAATGGCAGTCTATGACACAGCCTGTAATACAGAGAGAATATCAGCCTACCACCCAGGGTGCAATACAGAGAGAATGGCAGTCTATGACCCAGGGTGTAATACAGAGAGAATGTCAGTCTACCACCCAGGGTGTAATACAGAGAGAATGTCAGTCTACCACCCAGGGTGTAATACAGAGAGAATGTCAGTCTATCACCCAGGGTGTAATACAGAGAGAATGTCAGTCTATCACCCAGGGTGTAATACAGAGAGAATGTCAGTCTATCACCCAGGGTGTAATACAGAGAGAATGTCAGTCTACCACCCAGGGTGTAATACAGAGAGAATGTCAGTCTACCACCCAGGGTGTAATACAGAGAGAATGTCAGCCTACCACCCAGAGTGTAATACAGAGAGAATGTCAGTCTATCACCCAGGGTGTAATACAGAGAGAATGTCAGTCTATCACCCAGGGTGTAATACAGAGAGAATGTCAGTCTATCACCCAGGGTGTAATACAGAGAGAATGTCAGTCTATCACCCAGGGTGTAATACAGAGAGAATGTCAGTCTATCACCCAGGGTGTAATACAGAGAGAATGTCAGTCTATCACCCAGGGTGTAATACAGAGAGAATGTCAGTCTATCACCCAGGGTGTAATACAGAGAGAATGTCAGTCTATCACCCAGGGTGTAATACAGAGAGAATGTCAGTCTATACCCAGGGTGTAATACAGAGAGAATGTCAGTCTATCACCCAGGGTGTAATACAGAGAGAATGTCAGTCTATCACTCAGGGTGTAATACAGAGAGAATATCAGTCTACCACCCAGGGTGTAATACAGAGAGAATGTCAGTCTATCACCCAGGGTGTAATACAGAGAGAATGGCAGTCTATGACCCAGGGTGTAATACAGAGAGAATGTCAGTCTATCACCCAGGGTGTAATACAGAGAGAATGTCAGTCTATAACCCAGGGTGTAATACAGAGAGAATGTCAGTCTATCACTCAGGGTGTAATACAGAGAGAATGTCAGTCTATCACTCAGGGTGTAATACAGAGAGAATGTCAGTCTATCACCCAGGGTGTAATACAGAGAGAATGTCAGCCTACCACCCAGGGTGTAATACAGAGAGAATGTCAGTCTACCACCCAGGGTGTAATACAGAGAGAATGTCAGTCTATCACCCAGGGTGTAATACAGAGAGAATGTCAGTCTACCACCCAGGGTGTAATACAGAGAGAATGTCAGTCTACCACCCAGGGTGTAATACAGAGAGAATGTCAGTCTATCACCCAGGGTGTAATACAGAGAGAATGTCAGTCTACCACCCAGGGTGTAATACAGAGAGAATGTCAGTGTATGACACAGCCTGTAATACAGAGAGAATGTCAGTCTACCACCCAGAGTGTAATACAGAGAGAATATCAGCCTATCACCCAGGGTGTAATACAGAGAGAATGTCCGTCTACCACCCAGGGTGTAATACAGAGAGAATGTCAGCCTACCACCCAGGGTGTAATACAGAGAGAATGTCAGCCTACCACCCAGGGTGTAATACAGAGAGAATGTCAGCCTACCACCCAGAGTGTAATACAGAGAGAATGTCAGTCTATCACCCAGGGTGTAATACAGAGAGAATGTCAGCCTACCACCCAGAGTGTAATACAGAGAGAATGTCAGTCTACCACCCAGGGTGTAATACAGAGAGAATGTCAGTGTATGACACAGCCTGTAATACAGAGAGAATGTCAGTCTCCCACCCAGAGTGTAATACAGAGAGAATGTCAGCCTACCACCCAGAGTGTAATACAGAGAGAATGTCAGCCTACCACCCAGGGTGTAATACAGAGAGAATGTCAGCCTATAACCCAGGGTGTAATACAGAGAGAATATCAGCCTACCACCCAGGGTGTAATACAGAGAGAATGTCAGCCTACCACCCAGGGTGTAATACAGAGAGAATGTCAGCCTACCACCCAGGGTGTAATACAGAGAGAATGTCAGTCTACCACCCAGGGTGTAATACAGAGAGAATGTCAGTCTATCACCCAGGGTGTAATACAGAGAGAATGTCAGTCTATCACTCAGGGTGTAATACAGAGAGAATGTCAGTCTACCACCCAGGGTGTAATACAGAGAGAATGTCAGTCTACCACCCAGGGTGTAATACAGAGAGAATGTCAGTCTACCACCCAGAGTGTAATACAGAGAGAATGTCAGTCTATCACCCAGGGTGTAATACAGAGAGAATGTCAGTCTATTACCCAGGGTGTAATACAGAGAGAATGTCAGTCTATTACCCAGGGTGTAATACAGAGAGAATGTCAGCCTACCACCCAGGGTGTAATACAGAGAGAATGTCAGCCTACCACCCAGGGTGTAATACAGAGAGAATGTCAGTCTACCACCCAGGGTGTAATACAGAGAGAATGTCAGCCTACCACCCAGGGTGTAATACAGAGAGAATGTCAGCCTACCACCCAGGGTGTAATACAGAGAGAATGGCAGCCTACCACCCAGAGTGTAATACAGAGAGAATGTCAGCCTACCACCCAGGGTGTAATACAGAGAGAATGTCAGCCTACCACCCAGGGTGTAATACAGAGAGAATGTCAGTCTATTACCCAGGGTGTAATACAGAGAGAATATCAGTCTATCACCCAGGGTGTAATACAGAGAGAATATCAGCCTACCACCCAGAGTGTAATACAGAGAGAATATCAGCCTACCACCCAGAGTGTAATACAGAGAGAATGTCAGCCTACCACCCAGGGTGTAATACAGAGAGAATATCAGTCTATCACCCAGGGTGTAATACAGAGAGAATATCAGCCTACCACCCAGGGTGTAATACAGAGAGAATGTCAGCCTACCACCCAGGGTGTAATACAGAGAGAATGTCAGTCTATCACTCAGGGTGTAATACAGAGAGAATGTCAGCCTACCACCCAGGGTGTAATACAGAGAGAATGTCAGCCTACCACCCAGGGTGTAATACATATAGAATTTCAGTATGTCACCCAGCGTGTAATACAGAGAGAATGTCAGCCTATCACCCAGGGTGTAATACAGAGAGAATGTCAGTCTATCACCCAGGGTGTAATACAGAGAGAATGTCAGTCTACCACCCAGGGTGTAATACAGAGAGAATGTCAGTCTACCACCCAGGGTGTAATACAGAGAGAATGTCAGTCTATCACCCAGGGTGTAATACAGAGAGAATGTCAGTCTATCACCCAGGGTGTAATACAGAGAGAATGTCAGTCTATCACCCAGGGTGTAATACAGAGAGAATGTCAGTCTATCACCCAGGGTGTAATACAGAGAGAATGTCAGTCTATTACCCAGGGTGTAATACAGAGAGAATGTCAGCCTACCACCCAGGGTGTAATACAGAGAGAATGTCAGCCTACCACCCAGGGTGTAATACAGAGAGAATGTCAGTCTACCACCCAGGGTGTAATACAGAGAGAATGTCAGTCTATCACCCAGGGTGTAATACAGAGAGAATGTCAGTCTATTACCCAGGGTGTAATACAGAGAGAATGTCAGCCTACCACCCAGGGTGTAATACAGAGAGAATGTCAGTCTATTACCCAGGGTGTAATACAGAGAGAATGTCAGTCTACCACCCAGGGTGTAATACAGAGAGAATGTCAGTCTACCACCCAGGGTGTAATACAGAGAGAATGTCAGTCTATCACTCAGGGTGTAATACAGAGAGAATATCAGCCTACCACCCAGGGTGTAATACAGAGAGAATGTCAGTCTACCACCCAGGGTGTAATACAGAGAGAATGTCAGTCTATTACCCAGGGTGTAATACAGAGAGAATGTCAGTCTACCACCCAGGGTGTAATACAGAGAGAATGTCAGTCTATCACCCAGGGTGTAATACAGAGAGAATATCAGCCTATCACCCAGGGTGTAATACAGAGAGAATGTCAGTCTACCACCCAGGGTGTAATACAGAGAGAATGGCAGTCTATCACCCAGGGTGTAATACAGAGAGAATTTCAGTATGTCACCCAGGGTGTAATACAGAGAGAATGTCAGTCTACCACCCAGGGTGTAATACAGAGAGAATGTCAGTCTATAACCCAGGGTGTAATACAGAGAGAATGTCAGTCTATCACTCAGGGTGTAATACAGAGAGAATGTCAGTCTACCACACAGGGTGTAATACAGAGAGAATGTCAGTCTATCACTCAGGGTGTAATACAGAGAGAATATCAGTCTATCACTCAGGGTGTAATACAGAGAGAATGTCAGTCTATCACCCAGCGTGTAATACAGAGAGAATGTCAGTCTATCACTCAGGGTGTAATACAGAGAGAATATCAGTCTATCACTCAGGGTGTAATACAGAGAGAATATCAGTCTACCACCCAGGGTGTAATACAGAGAGAATGTCAGCCTACCACCCAGGGTGTAATACAGAGAGAATGTCAGTCTACCACCCAGGGTGTAATTCAGAGAGAATGTCAGTCTACCACCCAGGGTGTAATACAGAGAGAATGTCAGTCTATCACCCAGGGTGTAATACAGAGAGAATGTCAGTCTATTACCCAGGGTGTAATACAGAGAGAATGTCAGTCTATCACTCAGGGTGTAATACAGAGAGAATGTCAGTCTACCACCCAGGGTGTAATACAGAGAGAATGTCAGTCTACCACCCAGCGTGTAATACAGAGAGAATGTCAGCCTACCACCCAGAGTGTAATACAGAGAGAATGTCAGTCTATCACTCAGGGTGTAATACAGAGAGAATGTCAGTCTATCACCCAGGGTGCAATACAGAGAGAATGTCAGTCTACCACCCAGGGTGTAATACAGAGAGAATGTCAGTCTACCACCCAGCGTGTAATACAGAGAGAATGTCAGCCTACCACCCAGAGTGTAATACAGAGAGAATGTCAGTCTATCACTCAGGGTGTAATATAGAGAGAATGTCAGTCTATTACCCAGGGTGTAATACAGAGAGAATGTCAGTCTATTACCCAGGGTGTAATACAGAGAGAATGTCAGTCTATCACCCAGAGTGTAATACAGAGAGAATGTCAGTCTATCACTCAGGGTGTAATACAGAGAGAATATCAGCCTACCACCCAGAGTGTAATACAGAGAGAATGTCAGTCTACCACCCAGGGTGTAATACAGAGAGAATGTCAGCCTACCACCCAGAGTGTAATACAGAGAGAATGTCAGTCTATCACCCAGGGTGTAATACAGAGAGAATGTCAGCCTACCACCCAGGGTGTAATACAGAGAGAATGTCAGTCTATCACCCAGAGTGTAATACAGAGAGAATGTCAGTCTATCACCCAGGGTGTAATACAGAGAGAATGTCAGTCTATCACCCAGGGTGTAATACAGAGAGAATGTCAGTCTATCACCCAGGGTGTAATACAGAGAGAATGTCAGTCTATCACCCAGGGTGTAATACAGAGAGAATGTCAGTCTATCACCCAGGGTGTAATACAGAGAGAATGTCAGTCTATTACCCAGGGTGTAATACAGAGAGAATG